TCACTATCTGTAATTGTCTCCATTTCATCTATATTGCTATCTAAAATAAAGCTTTTTATATCTTGTGTTGTCTATATGTGATTTATTCTAGTTAATGCTTTACTATTTGACCATGAATACTTAGATAATCCTGGGTTACAGAGATAGAAAACTTCTACATAATCAGTATTTTTGAGCCAGTTCGTGATTTTTGTTCTATAATCTGCATTCCTCTTTCCTTCTCTGCTCATATCTAGTTTTTTATTTAGTACTGTATTGAAATCTCCTAAAACTATATAGTGCATATTCTTTTTATTCCTAATGATTTCTTTTATTAAGATTTTGTATACTCTTTTCATTACTTCTAAATTTTTAGATAGAAGATAAACTATCCAGACTTGCAGAATTACTCTTCTAAAGTAGAATTCAGCTTTGAGCAGGTATGGGCTATATTTTCTACATGCTTCTAGATTTTTCATCCAATTTTGATCAACTAGTAATCTAATTCCTAATCCTTTTTTTTTACCTTTTTCTGATTTAGTCTAAAAGCTTGAGTACCTGTAATCTTTCGTATTTATCTATTTGCCTTCTGGTTCTCCTATATTAGTTTCAATAATCTCAATTATATTATATTCTTCAGACTTACTAAACTCCACTAGCTATTCTACTTTTATGTTATCTTCTTTTATCCTATTGATATTATGTGTTCCTATCTTTATACTTTCTCTTTCTCTGTTTCTAGTATATATGTTGTGGCTTATACTGCTACCTGTATCTTCATTTCCTCCTTCTCCTTCTTTTTGATTCTCTTCTCTTCTTTTTCTTTAGTTTCGATTTAATTTTGCTCTATTTTGTTCTTCAAGTTTTTCTTCTTAGTAGACAAGAGCTTCTATTAATTAAACTTTGGCTAATATTAGAAGCGATTTAGGGTTTCAGAAATTGTTAATAATGAGTGAAAAGATATTATAGTTAATATTATAAATAATGAAGTTATTTTAAATAAAGATGATTTTATAAAATTAATTAATAGAACAAATCAATTAGAAATAGTTCAAGCAGAAGTAAATCAAAAATTAAATAATAAAACAAATTTAAATATTTCAACATCAAGTAAATTTTTAATTTTATTATATTTATTTATTAATTTTATTTTTTTTAATACTAATAATTTTATTATTATTATTTAGCTTTAAGTTTTGAAAATAAAATAGATTTACTTTCAAAAATTCTTTTTAAAGAACAAAGAAGATTAAATAATTCAATAGAATTAGATCCTAAAAAATTTTTAGAATTAATTACAAGATCTAATTTTTTACTTGAAGGATTTTTTGATGAAATTTTTAATGCTATAAGTCCAAAAAATAGAGATTATCAAACTAGAGAAAATGATAAAAAAATTGCAGTTAGATTTTGTTATCTTCTTGCTAGAGCTCGAAATAAATTTACAAATGAATTAAAAATAGAAATTGGTCTTTATTTATTAGTATCTGGATGTAGTAGTTCTGCAATTGATACATTATCAAATTTTGGAATTTCAGCATGTTATAAAACAATTGATGACTATAAAAAAAAAGTAGCAAAAGAACATTTAACAAAAATTTCTAGCTATTTTACATTTAATGTAAGTATTTTTTTTTTATAAAAATTTTAATATATATTATTATTATTTAATTTATTAATTTAATATATTTATTTAGTTAAATAACATGTATATTTTTAATATTGATGATTACCATTCAATTCATTTTTATAAAAGATCAGATATAGTATCATTATCAAATATATATGATATGGCTACATGTGTTACAAAAAAAATTATAAATTGTAGACCAATTCCAGCAATATTTAATAATATTTCATTTTTTAATCCTCTTAATATTGATGCAAGTTTAATTAACAAATATTTGCTTGAAAAATATAATGATAATTTTGATATAAGCTATAATACTCAAAAATTTCAATAGACTAATCAAAATATTCAAAAATTTCAACATTTTGATTGAATAGAACTTCTTACAATTCATATTTATGATGATTCAATTTGTGAACGAAAAGATGAAAGATCAATGGAAATGTTCAAATTATTAATATTGAAGAATATAAGTTAAAATCAACAGCAGATTATATTAAAGCACTTTCAATGATAACAAAAATACTATCATTATATAAATATTTAGATCAAAATATTTTACCTATTATAGCAGATTGGCCAGAACAATTATATATTCGAAAAGCTATTACTCAATTACAAAAAGAATTAAATATTCAAAAAAATAATCCAAATCATCAAATTACTATTCCAACAAATATTAAAAATTTTATTCCAATTCTAGGACATTTATATGTTTCTTTAAATACAAGACAACATATTTTAATTGTTCATTATGAATTTTTTAACAAATTATATAAATTTGTTTTTGGACTAAAAAAAAAACAATTAGCAAAAAATCCTTAACCTTATAAAATTAATCTTCTTTTAGAATTAGCAAGTGAAAGTTGGAAAAAAAATTAGCAATATAATTATTTTAAAATTTCCTAAATTATGTAAAGATATAGAATATAGAATACTTATTGATCTTTTAGATAATTTAATTCTAGCAGCTTTAGATATATATGCTATTATTGTTAGATCTGGATCATTTGAAGAATATATTGAAACAATTTTTTGAATTTGGACATTTGCATTACAGTAGAATCAAAAAAATTATAACAAAGCACCATTAGCATTTTTATCTGATTATTTTTATTGGAAAGATACTGGACATCCATTTAGTAAATTATTAAAATTACATCTTATAAATTTTAATGATTATTTTGTTGAAAATATTCATAGTAAAATTCGAGCAAATACAACTTCAAAAGATTCAGTAGATACTATAAAAAAACAAACATATATATTAAATTATCATAATTATTCTTTTATAAATTTTTATAGAAATACAAAAAAATATCTATATTCTCTTTCAACATTAGATATATTAATTCAAAAAACATCATTATTTTTATTAGAAACTTTTCATTCTGTTTATAATAATATTGGAAAAACTAAATTTTATAAAAATAAGAAAAAAATTACATTAATAGCTCTTTAACAAACAGTAAAAATTAGAAGTCTTCCTACTGGATATCATTCATCATTTTTACCTATATTAAATCAATGTGATTTATGTAAACAAGAACTTGTTGAAACTATAGAAGGAAATGAAATTATTTTAATTTGTGGATATGGATATCATTTAGATTGTTATAAAAAAATGAATAATAGATGTGAATATTGTTTACAATATTATAAAAAAGGAATTTTTAAAAATGTAAATTCATTTATAGAAACATTAGAAACTGATGATAATAATTTAAAAAAACTTATAGAAGATGATAATAATAATGATAATAATAATGATGATAATGATGAAAATAATGAAACAAATGAAATACAATTTTTATCAGATAAGGATAATATTAATTTAGAATATTTAACTGCTCTTAATAATATACATAATTGGTAAATAAATTTAAATTATTTTATAAAATTATTTTAATAAATATTATAAACTTTAAAATAAAAATATTTATATATTATTTTAATTATTAATTTATAATATTTACAAAACTTATATAATATTTATTACTATATAATATTAAATTATTTTAAATTTATAATAAAAATACAAAAAAAAATTTATATATTTATTTTACTAAATTATATATATCTATATCATTACTATTTTTAAAATAATTAAAAATTACAAATAAAAATTTTCTAATAAATATTATAAATACTTAAATATTTAATTATTTGATTACTTTAACATATTAATTAAAAATTACTGTTTAATTATTACTAGCTCAAAAAACCTGTGTGAGATATAATTAAAAACTATGAAAATTTTAATATGATCTGACAAAACTTTGTATTTATAATGCCAAAAATATTGATTATTAATTATAGCTGTTTTCAAATTAACATATCTAGCCAACTTTATGATTAATAAATCATCTTTATACTCACACACTATTCAAAGGGTATTAAATAATTAATTGTAAATAAGTATTTGAATTAAGTATTTATAAATAAGTATTTCGTGATTTTAATTCTACTAATTAACGTTAACAAATCATCTTTATACTCACAGGCTAAATTAATATAAATGAAAGAAATGATTTGAAGAGTATTAGGTAATTAATTGTAAATAAGTATTTAGTGATAAATATTTATGAATAAGTATTTATGTTCATATCTTTAATTCCACTGATCAACGTTAATAAATCATCTTTATACTTACAGGCTAAATTAATGCGAATAAAAGAAATGATTTGAAGAGTATTAGGTAATTAATTATAAATAAATATTTAGTAATAAGTATCATAAATAAGTATTTATATTCATAATTTAATAAAACTAATTTACGTTAATCATCTTTATACTCAGATAATTTAAAAGGTATTAGGTAATTAATTGTAAAGAAGTATTTAGAGATAAGTATTTATGAATAAGTATTATGTTCATAATCTTAATGAAACTGATTAATATTAATAAATCATCTTTATACATACACACGTTAATAAATTATCTTTATACTTACAGACTATTTGAAGAGTATTAGTAATTAATTGTAAAGAAATATTTAGAGATAAGTATTTATGAATAAATATTTATATTCATAATTTTAACAATACTAGATTATTGTCATGATAAACTAGTATGTGACTGCTGAAATGTGCATATAATATTTGTTTATTAATAATTCTTGTCTTAAAAAAATCACGTTTAAATAAGTTTATTAATGTCAATATTCTATTCGCAAAAATCTTAATAAAGAAAATAATAATTTATCGCTATTACTATTCATAAGTTGGTGGGATCTTTTCACATCATTTCCTGAATTGAACTAATACTCCATTTCAATAAGCTCTAGGTATTTTTTTAAATAAAATTTATAATATTAATCCAATAAAACAAATTAGCGCAGATGTATATTTCAGAACTTTTGGTTTCATCAGATTTTGGACATTTCGCCAGTTTTGCTAGTTTTGGAATTATCGGATTTCATGTCTTTGGGCGAAATATGTGAAATATATAGTTTCACCCGAAATACTAGATTAGAGCTTGTACATGCTTAAAAATTTAGGCTCCAGTTTACTTACCAATTATGACAGTATAAAAGAGTATTTGGTTGGAGAAAGTTATCATTGTTTTTTTTTTAGTTTTAAAGTTAGAAGATTTTCCCAATTGAGAAAACAAAGCTCTATTTATATAGTGCAAATAATCAGTAAAAGAGACAATTGACTAGAATTTATTAGTATAAAAAGAGTAGACAGCCAATATTACTCAAAAAAAATTTTACCACATAACTGAAACACTATGACGAAAATACCAAAAAATTTTACCATGTCGTTTATTGTAATTTATCAATAATTTAGACACCGATTTTCTAAAACTGCCTTCTCCTCCTCCCCAAAATCTCAACTATTCTCAAAAAAAGCCCTCGCTAAAAAAATTAAAACCGATTTAAAAAATTGTTTAGAAAAACTTCGCACTAGTGTTAATTGAAAAGTGGTAGATACTCCCTGAATGGTTTTTGACAATAGAACTATTGGCCCAACTGGCAAATACCGAGAAAGAAATAGTGAAGCAATCATCCTATGTATAAATGAAAGGAATTAATATATTACATGAAAAATTGCATGAATCAAAGAAAAAAAATTATATGAAGTGTAAAAGTAATTTTTTATAATACACTCTCTTAAATTTTGTGTGTGAAATCAGACTTCGAGCCTTGAAGTTTATAATTTATCAGACTAAATATATTAGATTTTAGTGACAGGAAATAAACTTGTAAACCCGAAGCCTGGTTTCCAGGTATTATAAGTTCATACAGCATTAGTTGATATTTTTGGCTTGCCTATTCTAAGAGTAGATATAAATATATTTAGTCTGCTAGGTAAAGTATGAAATCTAAAAATTGTAACAGACTAATAATTTTTATAAAAAATACCTACTATAGTTATTATCTTTATACATACAGACAAATTAAAAGTCGGTACTTAACTAGGTAGAATTTCTCTCAACATATATCTTCCAACCTTTCTGACGTTATCAAGGCCAACAAAAACTTCACTTCTCATTTAGTTTTCTCAACTACTGCATCTAACTGCATCTCTCATTAAAAAACAATAGGTTTAAAGGTAAAAAATTGGTTACCAAAGTTTGTGGTTTCATTATATATTACAAAAAAAAAAATTTTATATGATGCGATGATTTTTACTAATAAAAGTACTTTAAAAATTATAATTGACTGTATAAAAAAAAGATCGTCGCCAATCATATTTATCCTAATTTCAGCTAATTAAAATGAACTTCCACTATGCTGGTCTGGCAACCTAACTACTACACTAAGATCGCCAGACCTATTTACTTATATTTTATATATAATATAATTATGAATATATTTTATATTTCAGTTTTGTATATAAAAAAATTGTTAATGAGTTATTTTTTTTAAAATAAGATAAATTATAAATTAAAGTTTAAAAAATACTAAGAAAAATTTATTGATTTAATTCAAATTATATTAAAATTCACTCTTTTATTATTATAAAAAAACTTTTAGTCAATCTTCTAAACAATAGTTTCTCAGACTC